TTAGAAGAAATGGGTTTGTCAGAAGATCTCCTGAATTAGTCCCTGCTATCTAATCCAAAATCAGACTTGCGCCACCATGGCTGCTGTCAGCTTGGGTTCCAAAACCAATCCTAGCTTCTTTCAGCTTCTATTAATTGACTTGTCCTTGAAAGTGCTTTTTTTCTCAACATCACCAACACCCTAATTAGAGAAAGCCAGTCATCCTCCTTCACTGTACATTGCTATTAATACATTGTTCTTTTATCAACAGTTTAAGGATATCGAAGCGTAAGCACAGCATGCAGAAATAACTTCAAATTGAATTCTACCTGTCACTAAGGTTCTTCAGTCTACCTCATTATCTTTTTCCTTAATATCCTTTTGTTTGTTATCATTCTGCAAACTTTTTCTTATCCTACTACAAATCTTTCTCCTATCTCTCTTCCATTTCCTATGGCCATTAACCTTAGCCAAAGAGGATATTTCTCAAATATCTGTTACTTCACTCTGCAAAGGGAATCTAAGCCCTTTTCTCTCAGTCGTTTCTTTACAGACACTGTCTGGTGACCTTATAACTAACAAAAAAGCCCTAGCAAGACGTCTTCTAAACAGAAGTTCACCATTTTTCTCTGTGAGAAATGCTTCATCCTCCTAAATGATCTGGCAAGATTATTTTATCCCTAAAATAATTTTTTCCTCCTTGTTATAAGAATATAACACAATTTTACAGTTGAGGACTATTTCGATCTTCAGAGAAGTACAGTGAGAGAATATTCACTTGCTGAAATGATAGGATTATTTCTTAAAAGAAATGTGAATTGTCTCTCCACAATTTACTAATTCCCCAAGAAGAGCTGTTCATTGTTGTATCTTAGGATAACTTCTTTTGATTCAATTCCTTTACCTCTGCTTTGATCTCTCATTCTCATTCCTAAATTCATTCAACCAACCAGCCAATCAACCGACATGCAACTAGGTGTGGGAACCAGGCTTAATACTCAAGGTACTTAGTACAAAAGGGTCTTCCCAGAGCTGCCGATGAACCAAGAGAGGAGGAGGTGGGAGTCCTGTGTGGTTAGAACATGTTTTGTTTTGTTTTTTTTGTTTTTGATATTGGGGATTGAACTCAGGTCCTTGTGCTTGCAAGGCAGGCCACTGAACCACTGAGCTAAATCCCCGGCTAGAACATGTTTTGAAGACAGGAAGAATTGCATTAAGCAACCATTAACTTACCTGAATGCTTTGGGTTGAAGAAGGAAAGTTACTCCTTGTAGGCTAAATCACCCTGTTTCCAGTTCATAAAGACACACAACACTCTTCTGCAAGTAGGCTTATAATATTAGTAATGCTGCCTCTTTTATAGAAATATGTAGCTGATAAAATGCTTAAAATAGATCTGTTCTAAATTTTAACTGCTTTTCACTCACCCATCCATCCATTCACTCAACCAGCAGTATTTATCTATTTTGGACTAGAGGAGAAAGCAGCTGCATCTACTGAATTTCTGGGCATTGTATTATATTAGGTGAATAAACAAAGTTAAGACCTGTCTGCTCTTTTATCACAACAATGGATCTTCATTATAGTTTTATGTCACCAGGAAAAACTTACTAAATCTAGTATAGTATTCTGGAGGGTGATATATATATAATAGATCTTTTTATAGAGTTAAAAAGTAATTGGGACAGGGATTTAGCTCAGTGGCTCCATGCCCGCCTCACAAGTGCAAGGTCCTGAGTTTGATCCCTGGTACCAAAAAAAAAAAAAAAAAAAGTAATTAACATTTAAAGACTTTATCTTCATAGAAAACTCAAATATTTGAAAAGGCACTCACTTCTTTTCTCTAAGGATTACAGAGCAAAAGTTTACTAGCTAACATACAAGTCAGTTTTAGGCAACTGAATGTCTTAACATCCAAATAATTTTCAAATGAACTTCCTCTGCAGATTTCACATTTATTTCTGGATACCACATAAAAGAAGGGAAGCTTGTGTAACTGTTTCTTACTGTTGTACTTCTCCTATTCTGAGCCAATGCTAAACTAAGTTGTGAGGTACTTATAGTTTTCTCCTCCTATCTCCCCAGTCCTTGGAGAATATTATTATTATTATTATTATTATTATTATTATTATTATTATTATTATTATCATTATTATCATTATTTTGGTACCAGGGATCAAATTCGGGACCTTGCCCAAGAATAAACCTGATGTTCTGTGGCTGTTCAAGCTTCTCCAAGTCACTGAACCTGATGATATCTCATCTCCAACTCATTCTTCAAAACATAATAATCTTTGGTCATATTCCTTCTAATATCCATTACAAAGTAGTCTAATCTCAAAAACTAACTCAAGTGAACACATGAATCAACGATGACCATAGCTTAATACATTGCTATTCTCAGACAATGTGCAAAACAAGAGAAATTTATAGTATCATAATTGTAATCCAAGAGTATGAACTCTTTCTTATTTATGGTTACTGACAGCCAAATCTAAAACAGACAAAAAAAAATTGAAGATTATAACAACAACAACAAACCACCCAGCTGAGACTGCACTTTACTTTCGAAGGAGAGAGTAAATCAAAATATCACTATCTGGGCTGGGGATGTAGCTCAGCGGATCGGTGGCCTGCCTTACAAGTGCAAGGACCTGAGTTCAATCCCCGGTACCAAAAAAAAAAAACAACTACTATCTGATATTTGTATATAGTTTGCATTTGTATTTAGTCTTCTTATATGACACGTATAACACATATGTTTTTAATTTAGCTTAATATTTAAAGCAATTCCAGTTTACATTAAATATAAAAGAATATAAATACAGCAAGAATATACTTTAATTCCACATATAGCCAGTTTGAAAAAGATGTGACATAAATGGGGACGAAGAGTGGGGCAAGCCAGGCAAAAGCAAAGGAGGGCTCTGGGTTAGAGAACGTCCAAGGTGGAGAAACAGAACAAGAGAGAGAGGAAGAAAAATGAGCGCCTGAAAGGAAGGAAGAGTTGAGGTCTAGAGGTCTAGGGCTTCTGGGGCCTTTGCTTGTCTTGCTTCCAGCCCCACACCTGACTGCTCATCTCTCGTTCAATCTTGATCTGATTTCCTCTCCCTTGATCGTCTGCAGAGGTTCTTCCCCATCCAGTCTGTCTGGAGAGCTCTAGGCTATGGTTTCCACAGACTTCCCAGAGCTCTGAACTTATCTTGCGGAATACCTGCAATCACTGTAAGTAGGTTTCCTTCCACTTGCTTAGGGAAAAAAACTAAAAGCAATTCCCTTGAGAAATCTGCATATCTCCTCTGGCTCTGAATTAAAGGAGACAAAAGCACTTACCTGATCCCACCAAAAGTATTATGGTAGAAACAAAATAAAACCATGACTTCTATAACCTAAAAAAATAAATATCCAAATTTGCCTATGTGTATATTTTTCACCAAAAAGCAAGTTGCATATACAACAGATAAATGTCTATACATATTCACTGCTTATATTTCTAAGTTTTATTTTATTTAGCCAATTTATTGTGTAGTGGAGGAGATAGGAGGGTAGGAAGAAGGAGGAGAAATAAAAATGAGGAAGATGTGATATGTACATGTACCAATTTCCCAAGATGAATATAATTATCATGTATTGGAAATATATACTAAAAATATGTAAAAAATGAGATACATACATGATATTATTAGCTTTTAACAAATTACTAGCATTTAATAAATCATTGATGCAATATTTTAATGAAAAGAACTGGCTTAGTAGATACTGTCTGAGTTTGAATCTCAGTTGAAGCTCTTAGCAACTGAATGATTTTGGGCAGATTATTTACTAACTTTGACCTTAGGGTTCATAATACAGTATTAGCCACAAAGGTTTTTTTTTTTAATTTTATTGTTTATTGGTACATTTAGGTATACCTTATGATCACATTTATCATTGAGAATTTGAACCTGTACATGATATATCTTGATTCTTATTTTTTCCCATTCCCCTGCCTTCCCTTCAACCCCTCCACCCCCCAAAGGTATTTTTAATTTTTAGTATATGTGCTGCCAAAGTGGACACTATTTTTAAGAATTAAGGCTTGGAGTGTTGGCACATGGCTATAATCCCAGTGTTCTGGAAGGCTGAGTCAAGAGGATCTCCAGCTTGACCAACTTCAGTGTTTTAGAGAAGTCTAAACTAAAAAAGTAATAAGAGCTGAAAGTATTGCTCAGTGGGAAGGCCCTGGCTCAATCACTAGTACTAAAAAAAAAAAAAAAAGAGAGAGAGAGAGAGAGAGAGAGGAGGAAGGTGGGGGGGTGTTGAAACTGTGCTGGTATACAGTAAGCAATCAAGATCTATTATTATTATTATTATTATTATTATTAAGCATTAACCATGCTACATAGCTGCAAACTACCTTTTCGTGTTTTTTAAAAATGAAGGCAACTGAAAAATTTTTAGAAAAAAAAGAACTTTGAAAAAATACATGGATGTTGGGAGCAATTCTACACAATATTTTTGAAAAACAAATTACGATTAGGCCTAGTTTTCCTGCCTATGGCTGGCTATGGTATGTAAAGATATAACTCAATTTTCCCCTCAGGTCACAGCTAAAACCTCAATGGTTCAGTAATGCTGTGATGCTCCAGGCAGGATTACAACAGCTAAAGACATTCTGGGGAAGAACAAAATTTTCATCTACATAAATTCTTCATTGTTTTAGGATTATTACCCTCTGAGTCACTTGATATTCCCAGCATACCCAATAAGGTGTGGCAAGCTTAGGGCCTTTCATCTTTGCTGCCAGAGCAGTATTGATCAGGCCCAAAACTCAGCTTCTTCTCTAAGTCTCATTTTCTGTCTTAATTCATTAATTTTCCTTGTGCTGTTGTGGCTCATAGGAGACCAGGACCCACTGCAGGGGTTCCAGTAATATCCCCCTGCCCTGTCCTCTACACATGGACAATTTAAAAAGTCAAATATTGATAATCATTTACATTGAAACTGAAAAGCAGAGCTGTGTCTTTTCACAAATCACTCACCTCAAAGTCTATCAGTTGTAAGTTGGCTATCAGTGTCACCAGCAGCCCGCTTTTGTAGAGCTCTTGTGCCAGCTGCGCCACTGTCTCTGTTGGGGGTTCCTTTTCATTTGTACCACACAAAATTTCCTTCATTGCTTGCAGTGATTTTGACACTTCTTCTGAAGCCTAGTGATCAAAAAGAATACTGATAGTTTTTTGTTTTTGTGGTACTGGAGATTGATCCCAGGGCCTCATGCATGCTAGGCAAGCACTTTACCACTGAGCTACAACCCCCATGAACAGTTTAAAAGGATAAAAATGTTCAGGCCATTAAGCAAGACCACTTCTTAAGCTTTATTTATAATTAAGACTACTGAGCAGCTTTAAATAAGCAGGAAACCATTAGTAGACATAGCTTTTTATTTCAGAAAATGCCACTGAAATTTATATAAAAAGATCTTTAATATTCTACTTGGTAGACATAATTAAAATAATTTTTCTTTAAATTGCACTCATAATCTAATTTTGCTAGTGACAATAGAAATGTTGCTCTTGAAAATTAAATTGAGTCTGTTTTAAAGACTTATCTGCAGCTACTACTCTTTATTTAAGGCATTATGTTAAGGTTTTCAATTAGTCCCCCTTTTTCTGATCTTTTAATAGACCAAATATAAAATCATAGATTAGCTTCTTCTGTCTGCCTCACAAGCTGCAAGGACCCAAGTTCAATCCCCAGTACCAAAAAAAAACAAAAACAAAAACAAAAAAAAAACAAAGCACAACCCACTTTGTCAACCCACATATTCATCATACATTATCACTTTTTATGTGAAATCTAGAAATAAACAACTCAATGCATGTAAAGAGTAATAATAGGCAAATCCATGGAGGCAGAAAGTACAATGAATAGTGTATGTGAGGGCCTTGGGGAGGGAAACTGAGGAATATTTGCTAGTGAGTACAGGGTTTCTGTCTGGAAAGATGAAAATATCTATATGTAACTAGATAGTGGTGGTAGCTACACAATCTTGTGAATATACTAAAAACCACTGAACTGTATGCTGTAAATGGGGAATTAGATGTGAATCTCAATAAAAATTTTTATTAAACTAATATAGGTGGCAAAAAGCAGATTTATTTAGTTAAAATTAGGTTTTTTCAATATCTAAAAAACTTTTATTAGTACATGTTTGTAGCACATAATGATGACATTCACTGCGGGGAGTGGTATATGTACATAACACATCCTAATCCTTTTTATTTCTCCTCCCCCCATCTCCATCTCTTGGTCCCATTTCCATTTGTGAAAAATCTATCTCCTTGTTTCCAATTAACTATCTTTTCACTTTAAATTATTTATACTTTGGATTTCTCATATAAGAGAAACCAAGCAATATTTAAATTATGAGTCTTACTTCACTTGACATTATGGTCTGCTTTTCTCAATACGATAAAGCAAATATACTTTTATTACTTTATAGTATATAAAACTTTATAAATGAAGAAATAATAAGTAGAATAAAGCATATTACATTAAAAATAAATCATAGTAGCAAGACACTACTTTCGTTTGTGTTTTCTGAGACAGGGTCTCCCTACAGAGTCCAGGTTCAGGCTAGTCTCAAACTCAAGATCTTCCTGCCTCAGCCTCCTGAGTACTGGGATTAGAGGCAAGTACAATCATACTCAATTCAAGATATTACTTTTAAAAAGGAGTCTTCCATATACATATGTCCAGCTGAAACAATCCTTAATTTATTAAGGGCTAGAAGATTCTTAAATTTTGAGATGAACCCACAGATGAGTACTTTAAACATATATAGAAAGTTAAGTATAAGTATAAAAACAAACATCTTTATGACCATCACACTTGTCAAGAAATAGAACAGTTTTTACACTTTTGAATGCTTCCTTTTCAGTCTAGATGTAAATACTTTTATGTCTTTCAAGACAATTGCTATAGTTTGGATCTGAAATGTTATTTCTGAGTTCATACCTTGTCTGTCTTTTTGTCTTGCTTTTCCAAAATGGCCATGTTGTCTTTCAGAATTCTCACAATTTCTGCTGGATTTCTGTGTGATTTACTAAACAAAGGCATTTTTTTTGTGTGTATAAATATCTCCTCTTCCAATATGGAACGCTAAAAACAAGGCAACAAAAATCATTAACTTTTACTCTTAATTGCTTAATTTGTTATAGAAAAATGTCTTATAAATTTTAGGTAATATCAGTTCCACAATTTGAAATATCAAAAGTGATCAATCTAAAATGAGTCTTAAGTTTTATGCCAAATTTAAATATATATAAAATATGTTAAGAAAGATTTCAAAAGCTTTACCTAAAATTTTTTACTCAAAGTCTAAAATTTTTTCCTCCATCAGAAACACAATTCTGCAAGAATGATAAAATGAGAACTTTTAAAGAATAAGCTGATACTTAAAAAATATATATATTGACTAAAGGGGTAATATAATAAAAATGATAAAACATGTAAAATCTAAGTGAGATTAGGATTCATATACTCTCATAAAGCAATATTCAAAAGCATACCACCAACTATTCCATAGCAGTCATGAAACTGCAATGTAAAATTAATTATTTATGCTTCAAATATTCATTGGTAAAAAATGTCAGCATGGACTGAGGAGGCTGTGAAATGAAATATCAACTCCAATTGTTGGGAATATCTCGTATCTACAGCAGAGAAAGCCAAAAGTGGCTTTCATCGCCTTTAATGTAAGTATTAGGGAAAAGATTTGGTAATTAAAGTCTCCAGCTAGAAAAGGAATGTTCATTAGGTTATATGTATTAGCAAAAAATATTTCTGATATTACCGAAATACAATATAATGAATCAAAACTCTGTGTTTCAAATGCTCAGAGGTGATAATTGTTATCAGTCTGGCATATATCCTCTTCAAATTTTTTCTTTATATAAAAACTAAATGCATTTTAAAAAAACAAAACTAGCCAGACATGGTGGCAGATGCCTGTAATCCCAGCACTTGGGAGGCTGAGGCAAGAGGATCGCTGTGTGTTTGAGACCAGCCTAGGCTACAAAGTGAGTTTCAGATCAATCTCAACTACATAGTGAGACCCTGTGTCAAAAATTTTTTAAAAATAAAATTAAATTAAATTAAAAAAACAAAACTAGCTGGGAATTTAGCTCAGTGGTTCTGCCGTCTGCCTTGCAAGCGCAGGGACCCAAGTTCGTTCCCTGGTACAAAAACAAAAAAAGCTAGAATAACACTAATCATACTATTTGAAAACTTTCTCCACATTTCTATATCTTGAATATCATTCAGCCATGAGTATGTTTAGATCTACTATAATATCTTTAGTAATAGTAACAGTATTCCAATATATAGGTATAATTTATTTTACCAATACCCTCTGGTGGACATTTGGGTTATTTTGATTTTTCTCAATATTTTTTCTTATTAAAAATGATACAATTAATCAATGAAGAAAGAATATTACACACAAATGTATACACCAGTTGATAGCAGTTCCATAACCATCTGTGTTATAACCTTGCCTATGGCTCCAAATCTCCCATCCCCCTAGATTTCTATTTATTTTCCAAATTTATTTCTTTAGGATTTCGGCAAGATCTGTGAGCTGCCTGATATCCATCCAACAAATTATTTCAGGTAACAAAATCAGTATTTGTTGTTTGTGATCAGAATTCCAATGGTAACTGGAAACTAAAACCATTGGTGTGAATGTTTTTATGACAAAACAAAAACCTTAAAAAAACATTTCCTCTTCTCAGTAGGGACTCCTCAGTGTGCAGTAAGTATGTGTGAGAGGAGCTTGTCCACTCTCAGTCCAAGAAAAAAATCTGAAAACCACAATAAAGAATCCAATCAGCCTATAAAGCTGACACAAAGTTGCCAGAGAATCTGAAGATAAAATCCATGGGAAGATTCTACCATGAGCCCCATGGGTGGTATAGGTTGCATAAAAAGAGACAGTTTTTTTAGATGTACATTGTGTCTTTGTCTCTATGAAATTCAGGAATGCAATTATAAAGATATACTTAGGTTTTAGTTTATAAATCTTCCCACTAATAAAAAGGTCTAAACATAAATAAAGGTAGACTGGATTTAAAAGTTTGTGTAGTGGGGCCGGGGATTTAGCTCAGTGGTTCTGCCTCCTGCCTTGCAAGCACCAGGTCCCAAGTTTGAACCCTGGTACCCCAAAAAAAAAAGTTTGTGTAGTGGGTAGGGTGGGTGCTGAGTTATGGATAGCTGGGCTGACTAGCAGTCTGTTGCTTACTACATGAGTGACCCCACATTTATGTGATCTCGCTAAAACTCATCTGTAAATGGGGATGTAACAACTGTTGTCAGAAGTAAACATATGTGAAGCACAGGGCTTTGTACAAGTAAGGTATTCTATGTTTAGCTGCTACTATACAAATTGTTCCATGATATATTATATCCCCTTTGCTTCACCAAAGAGAAAGACATAGTAGTTGAGATATAATTCTATCTTAAATGGTCTTCGATATTTCTGCTCTTTGAGTCAATTATACTTGTCTTATTTTTTTCAAAATAGAAATTTATTCTCTAAATGTTTAATACTCAAGGTTCAAATATTTGACTTTAAAACAGAATTTTATAAAGCAACTAAATGCATTTGTGTGAGACTTCTTTCTCTGTGTAGAGAAAGAAATAGAACTGTAAGATTTTCAAATAAATAATCCCTGCCATCAAAATAGACCTCAGATGATGGAGTGTGTTTTTTTGTCAATTACCTACCTATTCTGCTTCATCCTCACTCTGGCAGTCTAATGCTAATGCCAATATGCTGAAGGGACAAACATTTTCAGGACTTCCAAGTTCACGTGGTGTTTGGCCAGCATTTCCTGGTTCTTTATCTTCTAATTTGTTCATTTGCTTGTTGTTATATTCATTTATTTGTTGAATAAATAATCCTAGATTTTATAGGTAGTAGGATTATGTAACAGTATGATACCATAGTGCCTCTTACTACAGTATTCTTTTTTCATATTTCAAATGTACCTAGTGAATTTAATAACTATAAAATTTATTTAATATATAAAACATTCTTTTAAAATTTAATTTGTACTTTAAAAAATTTTTTAGTACATCTGCAATACCTAATGATTACAACCTTCCTGGGAAGTTGGTACATGTACATAACACTTCTCAATCCTTTTTTCATCCTCTTTCCCTCTCCTCCTTTCTGCCCTCCTTTCATTGTAAACTTTTTTGTTTGTTTCTTTTGGTTTTGGTTTGTTTTGTTGAGACAGGACCTTGCTATAAAATTCAGGCTGGCCTTGAACTCACTATGTAGCTCAAGCTGACAGTTTGCAATGATCTTTCTTCCTCAGCCTTCCAAGTGCTGGGATTACAGACGTTAACTACCATGCCTGGCTCTCATTTTAAACTTTTACAGGATCATTAGTCTTCAGTTTTGGAACTCATTCTTTGAGGGAAAGCAAAACTCATACTCTCAAACCATAGTGTTCCAGCGCCCAGAGCCCTGGTAAATTAAAGCATCACTTCCCTGGCTGCCCAGTTCCCACACCATGACCAGACCCACCCCACTCCTAGAATGAACTCCACTCCCATCATCCACAACACAGCCTGCTGCGACTCTCTGGGCAGCTGTGCTGGTTACCACATGTGCATCCACTCAATTACATTACCCCACCACCTATTCCCGTGATAGCAAACTTTATAGAGCTTTCAATGATTAAAAAAAACAAACAAACCCAAAAACAAAAGCTGCAGCATGCATGCATAGTTTCCTAGTCACCACCACTGAGAACTAGTCATTTTCCACTCGCTACCCAAAAACCAAATACTTAAGCACCCATCTAGCCTTGATGGACAGACTAGATTGAGAAGTTATCACCCAGTGGGTGTACCTGTAAAAGGAAGACATTCCGAAAGTAAAATAGGGCATATTTTGAATTTAGAAAGGCTGCAGACTTGTGGACTCTCTGTTACTTAGTACCATGTCACGTCTGTTCTGAGCCTTTAATTCTTAGTACCTATCGCAACCAAAGATAAAGTGCTTAAGGTGAGGACAAAAGAAGTGGAGGAGGTACGAAAGCAGTGCCTTCTTGGAATAAGATGGTGACAGTAATTTTTCCATAAAGCCTATCTCAGTTTTAAGACCATGCTATACATCATATTACATGTAAATACTCTTTTTTTCCATTCATAAATATCATTTAATTTTATTTGTTTTAATGATATGATACTGCTAACTTTTTTTTAGTACATGTTGTAGCACATGAAGTTTGCAATCATTTTGGGGAGTGGATATATGCACATAATACAACCTGATTTTCCTCTTGGCTTAACCTCTTCCTCCTCCCCTCCTGCCCTGTAATAGTCTTTTTTTCCTCATTGAGTTTATTGGTACATTTTAGGTATACAGTACAGTTACATTCATTATTGGGATCCTGTACCTTTACATGACAGGTCTTGGTTCTCATTTTGTCCCCTTGTCCCTGCCCTCCCTTCACCCCTCTTCCCCTCCCCCTTTACAAACACTTCATTTCAATTTTTTCATTTTCTCATATTTTTTCTTTTCCCTTACTCCCTTTCCCCTACCCTGCCCACTTTCCCTACTCCTTTAGTACTTTTCTTCCTATTTCACATTGTCTATTATCTCATTAGGATCTTATGTACTATTATTGTTTATTCACACCAGAGAAACTATTCGGTATTTATACATGTGTGACTTATTTATTTCACTTAGGAGTATAACCTCAATATGTATCCATTTTCCTATGAATGAATCTAATTTCTCATTCTTTATGGCTCAGTAATATTCCATTTTAGAGAAAAACCACATTTTAAAAATTTTATTTTATTAGTACTTGTTTCCAGTGCATGAAGCTTACATTCATCATAAAGAGCAAGTACATGACATACACACCTTGATTCTTATTTATTCCCCTCCCCCTCCCCCCACCTCTAGATCTCCTTTCCTCATTTTCATTATTATTGTTGTTGTTATTAGTTCATGTTAATGACATACAATGTTACATTCAGTGTGGGCACTACACCCTGTACTTCAGCAAAGCAGACTGGAGAAGCAGAAGAAGCTGCCATGTTAGGCGATCAACATGAGGCAACAGTTGCCTCCTAGGCCA